TTACGGACGAAATGGATCCAGATTTTTGCTTGGGAAGCATAGTTCAGAAAGATCTCACCAACCTGGTGATCTGGATAATATTTACAGACCATTTGATAATCGACTTGTGCTTCTGCATCGATTTTCCCAATTTCTTGCTGCAAATGGAAATCTGTTTTAAAGTACTCTGAACATTTTGAAACTATTACCTTTAATTCTTCTTTATAGTGTTCCATATCATTTTCAAAGGTTTTATTGTTATGTTGATTTTTTTCTTCATTATCGTTTGGTTCCGACCACCCGTATTCACTGGTTCTTCTAAATGATTTATACGCAGTAAAATGCTGCTAGAAAAAGGATGTTACGTACTCAAGACGACTGAATTTGGTAAGTTTTGGAAATATTCGCGATCGAACCATTTTTACTTGGCTCTTTAGACCGGCAATGAGTGTTGGTAACGTTTGGCGTTTCCTATTCATACAGAGAATATTTTATTTATTATTTAGAATAACTTCACCTCACCATAGCAGATTGCCTGGAGTAAATGAATACGGTGTTGGACCAAATTGAGAGATATCTGGTTGAGGCTGAGTATAATCCAACACGGTGAAAACTGTATGTTGCCAGCCTGGCGGAATAATAAGCAGGTCATTTTCATTTTGAATAATCCAAATATCTTCCTCTTTACAATTTGATCGTCGTCTCACTACATCTAGAAGACCGATTCAGAATATCAAAATGCCAATTTCTTTTCTATTTTATACTTACCAATATCACCATCATTTTCCCTCCAAATTCTTTTTGACGCTGTTAGTGGTGTTATTCTCCAGTATTTTTTGAATTTCCATATAGTTGGCACATGATAAGCAAGTGAGAGTCTATGAATTGGGAAAAAATCGAGGTGATCTAATAAAAAAGACTTCAAAACTCACGAATAATGAGGTTCAACATGACCGTGTGAGACATAAAAGTTACCGACATGCATCAATGTTTCGGTACAAAATATAACATTATCAGAATTCTTCAACTGACTTTTAACAAAATGGGGAGATTTATTTAATCGATCTATAATTGGAAAAATAGTCCATAGCTTAAAATAAGAACAAAATTCTCTGATTACCGGTGATTATACCCAGAAAGATACCGCCATACAGTTTTCCATTAACACTTTTATCTGGATTGTTTGTTTTCCAGTGCATAGCAACTTTTTCCCAGCGTGATTGTACCTACAGTGCAGCGACATAAAGTGATATATTAGCAAATAAAGATGACTTTACAGACCGCAGCTCCTCGCATTCGTTTCGTATTTTCATCTCTTTTTCCATCTTTTTGAATTAAACACGTGCATGCTAATTACGATCAAAAAACACATTTTAGTGGTTAAGGTATCTCCACTGCAGAAACTCACGTAATTTTAGAACCTGATCGGAAATAACGAAGCGTTTATCATCAACAATTGACGGCGAGTATGCGTCAGTATAGGTCTTGCGACATTCATCTTCTAATGCTCTTACAACCGTTAACTTCGTAACATCGACTATCGATTGAGGGGGATAGCCATTTCCGATAATTTCCACAAACGGCGACGCTGAAATTAATTGTTTTTGTTCAAACTTCTCAACTTGACCATGTAAATATTTTGTTGCTTCGCCAAGTGCTATAGAAGGAAGACAAATTCATCAAGACTAAAACACTGCGGTTAACCTACTCGAAATGTCAGCTAATTTTGGCAAAAATTTCGCTGGTGGAAGTATTTTCACTTTTTTGCGCAAAAGCATAATCTGAACCAATAAAAGTAAATACTATTGCAACCACAATCGTACTGCAGCACCTTCCAAAATAAACTAGCTTTAAATAACAATTCTAAATAAAACATGTTTCTCCCCGATGCCGCGTGGATGTTTCTATTGTTTCACTTGCGTTCCCCCAACTTCTATTGCACTTTACAGCTCACCAATCAAAAAACCACTGAACCTCCACGCGCCAACACGGTAACACATTTAAGAAATACGCATCGGCAATGTCAATAATAAACCTCCACGGCCCTTATAGCCCACAAAAGAAGAAATAAAAAAATTAAACGACTGCGATACTAGCAACGATTACATTGGGTGCTATATTGCACCAATGAAACTGTGTTGGTATCAGGAGCACAGCACTGGACGAAGTCAAAATACGATCCGATTCTTGTAAACAGGTTTTCATATGTTGCATCAATTTCAGCTTCTATCTGAACCGTTCTATAGTAGTTCAAATGTGTCATATCAATAAAACTATTTAACTCTATATCTCCGTTGTCTTTAGCTGCAAAAGAACGTTTTAATCGTCAACCGTCCAGAAGACTCAATTCCAGCTTCGTCCTGATGCTATTTGAAATATTCTTAGCTATATCACATTACAGCGAATAAAGGAGTCTAGGTTTATGTGTTTTTCTATTTCGCATACCTCCCCTCCAAAAAACGATTTACAAAGATTTTGAATACACCCTATCTAATATCTTACATTATTTTCTCTTCTTCTGATCATTCGACATACATTAACATGCATAGAGTCAAAATTCAAAGAGACAAGAAACCAGAGACCAACTATGCTGCGCATAGATTGCTAAGTCGACTGAGAGAAACGGTAAACAGACGAAATTAGAAGGTTTAGAAACTAAAAATAGTTTGACTAGTTTTGAAGGAGGATTCCTGTATTCCTATATCAGCTGATTCATTATCGTGTCATATGTTCCACTATAGTGTAGCTTTGATTATATCCCGCACTGTAGCGTATATTCACTATGAAGTGAATCATGTGACAATTAATTATCTCATCGCAAAAGAGATAGAGTTGTGTAAAAAATATACTCATTTTGTGACACTAATTATATGACAACTAAAGCAAATATCCGACAACTAATTTCAGATGTGATATCTTCCACCTCTCTACTTTCGAATCATCTCTTTCCCAAACCTGAACGATCAGAGGTAACTGAGAACGAGTCGAACGAGAAAAAGAGTATGGAAGGAGAGAACTAGATGCCAACTGCCCTACGGGCAGATTGAAAACCCGACCGAGTGAAACGTATCTTGGAAACATTTTAGACACCGCCTGAATCCTTTACATACGATTGGAACATTGCAGTGCTCTACTAGTAAACATATGATGCATTCTATCGATAATGTTTCAAACTAGAAATCTATCATACTATACAGCAGCATCGACTGATAAGTAGCATGTGACTACTTAATGCATCACTCGACACTATTCATACTGAATGTACATGAAGTGTCACTCAGTCGGCTTAAAGAAGAATTTTTCTGGATGAAAAGCAATAAGTCTCCTTGCGTTTCACTCAGTCGACTTAATAACAACTGTACAATCACGCAAGTTGTCAAGCGCAGCAATTGCATTCTTCATAAACACATTCCAACACTTTGAACCGTACACAAAAGTTGGTTACGAAAAACAAACAGCCACCGAGTATACTATACAAGGTTGCAATGATTGTCTAAGGGCAGAAAGCAAAGGGGAGAAATAGGGAAATAACATCACATATGAGCCCGAAGGTGGAAAAACAATCAACATGCATTTTCTATAAACACATTTCAACATTTAGAGCTGCACGGAAAGTTGTTTAAGCCATACACAAAACGTTCTTACGGAAAACAAACAGCGAGCGAGTAGACAATACAAGGTTGCAATGATTGTCTAAGGGCAGAAAGCAAACGGGAGAAATAGAGAAATAACATCACACATGAGCCCGAACGAAGAAATAAAAATCAACATGCATTTTTCTAATGCACATGCTGACCTTTTGAGTCGTACATAAAATGGGTTCTTGTTTGTTGTTGTTTTTTGTCACGCCTTACACAAAACTTTCTTACGGAAAACAAACAGCCAGCGAGTAGACAATACAAGGTTGCAATGATTGTCTAAGGGCAGAAAGCAAAGGGGAAAAATAGAGAAATAACATCACACATGAGCCCGAACGAAGAAATAAAAATCAACATGCATTTTTCTAATGCACATGCTGACCTTTTGAGTCGTACATAAAATGGGTTCTTGTTTGTTGTTGTTTTTTGTCACGCCTTACACAAAACTTTCTTGCGGAAAATAAACAGCCACCGAGTATACTATACAAGGTTGCAATGATTGTCTAAGGGTAGAAAGCAAAGGGGAGAAATAGGGAAATAACATCACACATGAGCCCGAAGGTAGAAAAACAATCAACATGCATTTTTCTAATGCACATGCTGACCTTTTGAGTCGTACATAAAATGGGTTCTTGTTTGTTGTTGTTTTTTGTCACGCCTTACACAAAACTTTCTTACGGAAAACAAACAGCCAGCGAGTAAACAATACAAGGCTGCAGTGATTTATTGTATATGTTGGTCTTGGTCGTCGCTGTTACAGCAGTGTTTATGCGTAGTGGAATGATATGTCTGCAACGCCTAGTCTATCTTTACGCGGACTGACTTTCGTAACTATCAAGACTGTGTGTTTTGCACTTCAGTTAGTCCGATTCGTGCGAAGAGAGATTTGTAACTTGCTGCCTTGTCTTTCCTCTTATTATTCAAAATGATATATCTTCTTTCTGTCTTTGTTTTCCGACGAAGATATTTTCAAACATTTGTGAATAGTTTATAAGAGAGAGAAAAATTTCGTGTGTATTCTTTGTTGTTTTTGATAAAATATCTCCTAGACCCTTATGAGAGAAGATTACTCCGTGTTCTTTCTCTTTTTTGATAGTATGTGCAGTACATCATCTTTTAAAAACATATCTATAAAACTGTTTTGATTATTTTTTTTCTAATTTAACACACGCAATAAATGATTACAAGAGTAAGTCAGCAGTATCGGATGTTTTCGTACAGTAAACAAACGTGTTTTTGTTTTCGTATTAAATTTAAAACGAAGGAACGGTGCAGTACCACGGCGGTGATTATCCTCTCGCATGAACTATCGAATAATATTGTTTGTAGACAATCCCTTATGTTTTTCAGATCTTTCTCTTATCTGCTGTTGTTTAAGTAAAAATGTCTTCAACAGTACAAATTAAAAAATATGGTGCGATGATTGATGAGAATATCGCAACTGCTGGAAAGCTTAAAATTGATCTGCAGACAATACTGGAAAAGCAAGACTACGCACTTCTCGAACATTATCAACATTTGAAAGCGTATGAACCATCAACTGTTATGTTTGGCATATTAGTAATGTTGGGACATTTTGGGAGAAATTCGCAATATTGTCATTATTTAACAGATGATGTGTTTCCAATCAATTTGTATTGTGTATTAGTGGGACCATCAGGTGATTATCACTGTAACTTGAATTTGTGTTGAATACACCTTCCTATCATCATCACATAGTTTAGATATCAAATTTGCGAACTTTCTCTTAAGTCCGTTTTCTGGTATAGGATGTGGCAAAACATCGATTATCAAGAGAATAAAGCAAGCATCACGCAAGTGCGAACAAGTGTTCAAAAGTTTTTACTTGAAAGAAATGGAGCTTGATGGAAAAATAAAAACAATTACATCTGTCATTTCAAATGTCAACAACTTATCATTACGTAAACATCTGGCAACAGGTAATAAATTGCTAGTGAATGATGAGATAGACGTATTCTTCGACCCACAAGGTGTTTATGATTCCACTACAAGTAAAACCGCCGGCGATGTAGGTCTTTTATTACAAGCCTTCGATGGGTAAGTTTCTGCCTATCATATTATTCGACCAACTCACCCTTTTCCTTTTTCGAGAATTACGGATGATGATCGAACGACAGGATCAACCAGTGTGTATATAGAACAAGCACATTTGTCAATTTTGGGTGGAACGACAGGCACACATTACTCAGCGTTGCTGGCATGTTTTGAAAAATACCGAGGTTTCGAAGGAACTCATAATCGAATGCTATATTTAGTGTTAGAACCCTTCGATCCTATACGACCTCAGCAGTAAATATTTAATCAATAACTATATGTGACGGACACCTATATCTTGTTTTCTTAGTTTTCGAAAAGGAAAACGAACCAAAAACATGCCGACATTGGCACATTATGCGATAGTCGCACATTTGTTTGGTGACGTTCAATATGAATGGCAAATGTCGGACGAAGAAAAACAACGTAAACAGCGAGGTTCGTGTTATTAAAGCGAAAGACACTGTTATTTACCAGCACGCATGACAGCTGATATACCTCCCTTATTATATAGGAATATAATGTAGCAGCAGTAAACGGTTCTGGAATTTCTAGCTGTGCAGGATCTACAATGGGTGGCTCGCACCCAGTCTCCCTTCTTCATGGTAGAAAAGTATGCATTCCTCAGAAAAACCAGTTTCTGGGTTAATTATTCCCTGTAAATCTCACCCGGATTCTGTGACCTTTGCTTGTATCGCAATAGAAATTTTACAAATAGAAATTCCACCAGAATCTTTTAAACTTAAAAAATTTCGCCCTGCTGTTACACTAAATTCATCCATGACTTTCGTATAGGAGAAACTGAGCCATTGAAAATTTTTCCCGAAACTAAAATCAAATAGAAAATGAATAAAGATCATTTTTACTCTGTATTCGATATCTTTCCATCATCATATTCATTTGATGATTTCAGTCTCACCATAGTCGTCTACTAGTTCTTTATGTTCAATGGAGCCAAATGACGGAAATGAGGAAGATGCTACACAAGGTGTTTCAAGCGCATTTAATTACACATTCAACTTAACATCGGACCATTTATCACACATTAAACAAAACCCACAAGAACCACGACAAATTCTAAATCTGTACGCAAAAACTTCGACGAATTTTCCACGTTGTTGCTGTTTATTGCAAATGTATCGGAACGTGACTAAAGTGTTGAATACTAGAGCTGTTTCACAATATGTGATTTTTGATGAAGGGCATCGAGAAAACAAAATGATCAATGAACAATCTCTTCAACAGGCGAAAATAAAAATAGAAGAATTGTTTTTGGTAACGGCAAAGCGTACGTCAGATGCTCCAAGTTTACCAGTTATCGTTATCGAGAAAGAAACGTGCGTTGCCGCTTGGGAGTGGTATTCATTTTTATTTGGTAATGCACTTGCACTATTCCGCACACAAACACAGTCAGTCGTAGAAAAATTAAAATCAACAACATTATCACATGTACAAAAAATTCTTAATATTGAATTTAATATTTTCATGCGTAGTGCATTAACTGCAAAAGTTCCAGGAACAGGAAGAACGTAAGTTAACCACGCTCTTATTCTTCGAATTCCAGCTACATCGTTTTTTCGTTATACAGCGCTCCATTCCATAATAGTCCTCATTTACTGGACCCAGCGTTACAAAAGTTGTTGAGTGATGGGACTATTATTCAAGGTTATTTTCTTCTGGATTCAAAACAACACAAACATCTCTCGTATATGAAGTTACCTGTACCAATCGATAAACAAAAAAGAGATATTTTTGAGAGAAATTTTATCACGTATGAGATATCATTAGATGCATACGAAGAAAATTATTTTCATGAAAAAAAGCCGTCAAATCAAGTACTATCACAAGAAGCTATCGGTATGTTTCGACGACGTGCAGAGTTAGTGCCACATTATCACAAACATCAAGAATTGAATGAAATCATCGATGATTATCTTCAATGTGGTGAAATTATTCCAGTCTTTAAGGAAGATAAAGGAGGCAAGGTTATAACATGTTATGAAATTTCTCAAACAGCAACGGCATTTGAACCACAAACAATACCGATAACAGCGGCGGTAAGCATAACAAATCAAGCGGTAGCGAACAATCACCAAACTGTTAAAGAAAACATGGTTTCAAAAGAGTCCAATCCGAAACCAACAACAGTATCGACAGGGGCTTCGATATCTCTTCCGCTATCAACAACAAATGTTAACCTACAAAATTCATCATTTCAAGAACTGCTCGCGTCATTCACACCACAGCAACTTCAAATGTTAACGAAAGCAACGTCTACAGGTATGTAAAAAATACAAAACAGTGGTTGAATGGTATACATCTAGAAGCTAAAAGAACACCTGGTGATAAAGGAAACCGTTCAAGTAATAGGAATAAATAATTTAAAAAAAAAACTAAATGACGATGTTACTTTGTCAACTACGGTGAAATAAAACATTTATGATTTACTGTTAAAAAAAGGATTATAATATATCAACCGTTAACAGGAGAATGTCAAAGATTGTTTATTTTACTGAAGAAACCAAAACATACTGATAGTCTGGTTCTATAGTAAATGACCAATTGATGATACAAAAGTTGTTCAAACGGAAAAATCGAGAAGCTCAAAAAAAACGCTTGGACAAGCTTAATGATTCATTTACTACTTTCTTGCATAAGTGCAAATAAACCATTTACTTTTTACATTAAGTGAAACTGATGACGCATCATCTATCTTTTAAAGTGGCTTTCCAGTTTATATTAATTCCTTCATTCACACTATTCAGATTCTCATCAATACCCACACAAATCTGATTCTTATGAATTTGTGAATCAGGATCTGCTTGAAAATGAATTTCAAAATCAATTACAAGATTTTCATGATGACGTTACAAGTCAAAGAGCTGTCATACTTATCGGCAAATCAGTTATCGGTCCAAAGGCCAAGAATGATCAAAGTAAAAGAATAATGACTAGTTTTTCTTTTACAAATAATACCATTCTTTGTTTTCATAGCAAGTGACGATTCAAGCGACGATGAACACATGAAAGTATCCGATAACGAGCATCCACCGTCTCCGTCGATACAACCTAATGACCAGATAACGACCAATGAACAAGTTGAAAGTAAGTACAGACACACTGAATGATAACGAGAGTTTCTTTTCTTTTTGTTTAGATCTAACTGCCGACACAACGGCAAAACATTTGCTAGTGGATCCAAAATTGAAAAAGATTGCAAAGAAAATTATGCTTCATAAGTCGGTGGTGTTTGCTCAGGCTGATATGACTCGTATAACCACACATGGTGTTGAACGGGACAAAGCAAAAGATATGTTGCTTGCTGTTCAGTTATTAGGACAAGACCATTACTTCGTTTCGAGAAGCAATATCGGCGGCAAAACAAAAGAAACAAAGCACTCAGGATATCTCAAGTAAGTTGATAAGGTGATATCATGGAGAATTCCACTTTAAAACACAGTCAGATTTTTGTATATTACTTTTACAAAAACGATTATTAAAGGAGTGAGCGCATAACATACATTTTTTCTTATAAGTCTCGCAGAATTCATAGGAAATATTTCTTTGTATTTGTGTAGCGTGTTTGTGATTTTCAGTTATGGAAAAGGAATTGTTGCAAACAACAAGAAATACACATGAGTCAAAAAAATTAAACAAAACCATGTTGTTCCCTAACAAAAACAGCTTTCTTGTAGAGACACAATAGAAGATCGTCCTATTAACTTTATTCTACAATTTCCACTCCATTCCGTAACTCTGACTTGTTCCCTGGTAGCTCCCATGCTACCTTCTCCCCTCCGCCGCCGACGTTGACAGGGGTTTTAAAAGTGGAAACTTGGACGTACACAGTAGTGCCGGTCGCCTGGCAGCAAAGTCGAATTAGTCCGAAGCTTTTGACTTTGTTGTAAAACTGACTTCTTCATCATAAGGATAAAGTTTTTCAATAACTACGATTCTCATCTCATCCGTACTTTTTACTACATAAATATATTCTTTTTCATTCAGATGTTTTCCCAAAACAGAATCAGTCGATGACAAGGAAAGTTTTATTTCGAATTTGAGAAAACATGTAAGGTGCGCTACATATGTAAGATGCGCTATTGGATTGCATTCTTCGTATTCTAGACCGGTCTCAAATGGAGTGAATATGTCGAATCCTACACAAAGTACCATCCTAACTGTGTATCAAGCGGTAATTCGACATGGAAAATTACAGAAGAAGTTGCTGCATTATTAGATAATGATTATTATTATGCTCAATATGTGCGTTACAATAGGGTAACATGTGTATTTTCTCCGATACAACAACAGCCGTCGTCCATAGTAGCCATAGAAAGTACGCATAAAAGCTCAATTACAGCATCGTCGTCTCTTCCTACGCTTATGTAATTTAGACCTTAATGTTTTCCCTAAAAACAATAACAAACGGAGGAAAAAAGGATCATCAAAACAAAAGCACGTGAATACTTCGTCAGAAAAACAACAGCAAGATCGAGACAAACAACAAGATGATGAAGGAAAACGACCAGACAAACGCAGCTCCAAGGTTTCTCAAGCCGGGAAGACAAAACGAACAAAAAAGGCATAATTGACAATAAAAATCCAATTGTGGTAACTCTTCGGAACATTAAAAACATGTATTGTTGTGCTTACATTTATTTTAATGTATGATTTTGCTTTTCTTCTCTCTCTTACATCTATGCGTCATCATCCATCATCCCCTAGACACTTTCGTTTTTTTCTGATACTTACTAGGGGTTGCTCATTACTGTTACTAGTAACAAGGAACAGCACACACTAGTTTGTTACTTTATCATAAGTAACAGGCGTAAACATAATTACTTGTCATCAGGTACAAAATAATAAACATTTGTTACTTTGTTTTATTAGTTTGCTATCTTTGAAAACGTAACAAGGGAATAATTTTTTTTTGAGAAAACAAGTGTTTCTAACATGCTGTTTTTAACAAAAAGAAAGTAACAATTTTGTTACTTGTAACTGGTGAGTAATGGTAATGAGCCATCCTTACTCATTATGAACGGTAACCTTCGATATATAACTTTAAATGACGACAGAACTCAAATATATATCAGAATTTAAATCAGATAACTGATTATCAAGTTTTTCTTTTATTCTTTCGTTATGAAATACATAAATAATAGATCATGGAAGCGGATAGCTCATTATTCAAAATGTGTTTTTTTATATTGTAATCGGTATACATATGTGTAAATATTTATTTTATTGTTTTCATTTATTAAACCGCAGTTTAAAACACGTTGTACTTGTTGAAAACCAATGACATAATAAAAAAGAAATATAAAAAGTCGTTCAAACCAACTCCCATTTCGGTTACAATACATAAACGATGAATTTTTTAATGAAAAACTTCGCCTTAACATTTTCCATTCTTTTAGATTGACGGATCAGTGATATTCGGAACATGGCAACGCGAGAAAAACTACATAAAGTTGAAATAAATGACGAACAAAAAACGATACTCAGATTAATGAACAAAATGAAACTGCATGAAATACAAACTGCTATGGAACTATTTCACAAACTTCCAGAGCAAATGCCGGACAAGGATACTCATATCACCAATATGATCAATTTCCATTACAAACGAGAATATGATGAAGATACAGTCGGTTCCATCATTGATTTCATCAACAGTGACCAAAATTTTAAAAAATTATTTCCGATCAATAGTAATCTCGAAACAATCATTAACGACTATAAGACTAAGCTAAACGTTTCAAGTCATCTAGTCAATATCAAGCACGCACAACCATTCACAAGTCGCTGTTTACAGTGTCAAAAAACTCTACCAATTCAACCACATAACACAACAAAAGCGTTATTAAACCACGATTCAATTAGAATGTGCACAATTTATTTCGCCGAGTGCAAAGCTTGTAAAGTCAAAATTTTTCCAATGCATTATGAAATAGAAAACAAGACTTTTGTGACACCAATATCGATTAAAAACGACGATATTATATTTTTTTCGGGTGAAACAGCCTATACTAACGAAATATTTATTGATTTCGAAAAGCACTTATTAAATTCTCAAATGACATTCAAGGCATACACGAAAGCATACAACGAAAAGATTGCAGAACTCACCGAAAGAGAACTGCAACGTTCTCAACAGCGAGAAGTGACAAGAACCTCCACAAATACGCTTTGCACAAGGTAAATGGACAAACAGCCTTTTTTGTTATTCCACAAGTGAAATATCAGTTTATGCATGCTCACGTTTATATGTTTAACCTCTGAGCTATATATTTTTACCACTTATCATTACTGAAGCAACAAACACGATTAAATGTTTCTTTTTTTTCCAGTACGTCACTATGCCAGCAAACAGCACAGCAGCAGCCAAAGCCACATGCAAAATCAATGGACGAGAAAAATCTTCAAATCAACTGGATGATTTACAATTTGATTCGTTTCGTTTTCTTAACAACAGATAAAACGTTCTTTGAAATTCCAGATTCATTTTGTGACAAGTATACAAAAGACAAGTATTTTAAACGTTATTATGAATATTTATACTCGTTGTTTACATCTTTTTGGACACGACATCAAACAATATCGAAGGCATGCGATCCCGAAAAATGTTCCAGAGTGTTTATAACCGATGGACATCGAAAAGCCAATCGATTCGTGTGTGCACAACAAGATGTATTTGATTTTCAGATTCCCGAAATGGGTGGTGTTGTCACTGGATGCTCAGAAACACCAAGACGCAACACAGGTAACATTTTCACTTTCTGCATTACATCGTCCGACTCTTCCTCCTAGCAATCTTTTCTTTTTATATAGGAAACAAAACATTCTGTGACTTTCATCAACCAACAAACAATACAACACCGACTCAACATACAAGTGATAATCTGCTTCGTGCGGACACTGGCAAGTTGAAAATCGCAAAAGATGCTGTAAATCAAGAATACGAAGCAGCCGAAGATCAAGACATATGCAACGTGTTCCGTGAGGACATTATTGATGAAAAAAAACGATCAAGCTACGGATTCTTGGCTACATTTCTGAATTGTATGGTAATTGTCGGTTTCGACGAGTGTCCGAGATCTGAAGGTATGCGACGTGTTATTCGACACTTGTTACGTATTTTGACTTATGGTGATCTTCCAAAAGCAATGTTCTATGACTGCGCGTGCACACTCAAGTTATTCATAAACAAGTGGTATGGAACCGAGTTTCTTGCAGTATCAAGTCGAACAACGTTTCTAACTGAAATGGCCATGGCGATCGATCGATTTCACATGAGCAACCACAAGCGCAAATTTTGTATTGAGGAAATGAGTGCCGACAATTCTAAGCACAAAAAGATATTTGATCAGGTGGACAGTCAAGTCGCTGAGAGACAATTCTCATATTTTAGCAAATTTAAACACTCATTTCGATCGTATTCATATCCCAAATCGGCAACATTCTTTTTGTTATTATTCCATTTAAAGAATTGCAAAACAATACAAATATCACCCAATGATCAACGTCTAGGACTACAAGTGATACCACCAGATATTCAAACACGAGTACATGAACTGGTGGATCAAACGTCGCTAAGTTCAAAACAGTCATCGAACACATCTTCTGCCACCCAACTATCAACAGTAATAGATTCACCGTCCCAACAGCTGCTATCCTCAATCACTCGCATTAATACAAATGATAGTGCAACAAAAGGTACAAGAACTGTTAAATGCCATCTTTATAAAATAGGTTTCATTTCAGCCGACATTAGTACAAAGCTTCTAACAAATCCAACATCAGGAACGATAGCAACCGCAACCGCCTCAACGCTTCGTCTCATTGCACCACAAATCAGTTCACAAGTTCAGAAAGCATCAAGTAAGCTGGAATATCAATTTTTTACAGATTTTACAACATCAGTCTTCTAGTTCTAACTCGAAATCGAAAAAGAGCCGCAACTTCAGATGGACCGACAGAACCCGGTACTCAACAAACACCAGTCGATTTTAACAGTAACACCACTTCACCACACTTCATCAGAAGTTTCACTAATCTCTCTCTCAAAATAGGTTTGATTACTAACGAGAACCAACGAACGATTACCACCCACGGACAAAATAATCAATGGAGCGCCCAAACAGAAACCAACAAGTCATATGATTAAATTATGAATATTATTATCGAATTATCTTTTTTTCCCCACGCTTCACTTCATCCATGTTAGCTCCTTAAAATAAAATTTCCCATTCGTCAACATTTTCCGCCAACCAAAAGAGCGGATAAAGCTCAAGACACAACTAACAAAACACAAGTAGTCAACTGAAGACGGATTCTCATAAAACGTTCATCATGTGCTGCATCAATCTGAGCTTCTACCTGAGCCATTTTCTAGTAGTTCAAATGTGTCATATCAATAAAACTATTTAACTCTATATCTCCGTTGTCTTTAGCTGCAAAAGAACGTTTTAATCGACAACCGTCCAGAAGACTCAATTCCAGCTTCGTCCTGATGCTATTTGAAATATTCTTAGCTATACCACATTACAGCGAATAAAGGAGTCTAGGTTTATGTGTTTTTCTACTTCGCATACCTCACCTCCAAAAAACGATTTACAAAGATTTTGAATACGCCCTATCTAATATCTTACATTGTTTTCTCTTCTTCTGATCATTCGACATACATTAACATGCATAGCGCCATAATTCAAAGACATAGGAAATAACAATTGTACGATCACGCAAGTGGTCAAGGGGAGCAATTGCATTCTTCATAAACACATTCCAACATTTAGAGCTGCACGGAAAATTTGTTTACGCCTTACACAAAACTTTCTTACGGAAAACAAACAGCCAGCGAGTACACAATACAAGGCTGCAGTGATTATCTAAGAGTAGAAATCAACGAGCAGTAATAAGGAAATAACATCACCGATGATCTCGAACGAACTCTGAGGGCACGCCAGTCTTGCTCAAGACACAGAACTTAACCAAAACCATCCTTACCACCCAGAAACTGAGTGGTATATTACACCAATCAATGGGTGGTATATTACACCAATGAAACCGTGTTGCTAACAGACAAAGTCAAAAAACGATCCGGTTCTTGTAAACAGGTTTTCATATGTTGCATCAATCTGAGCTTCTACCTGAGCCATTTTCTAGTAGTTCAAATGTGTCAAACCAATAAAACTATTTAGCTATACCACATTACAGCGAATAAGCGAGTCTAGGTTTATGCGTTCTTCTACTTCGCATACCTCACCTCCAAAAAACGATTTACAAAGATTTTGAATACCCCTTATCTAATATCTTACATTATTTTCTCAACAACAATCAACATGCATTCCCTATAAACACGCCCCAACATTTACAGCTGCACGGAAAAGCTCTTTACGTTGCCGCCAAACCACGTTCTAGCCGACAACCGTCCAGAAGACCCAATTCCAGCTTCGTGCTGACGCAATCTGAAATATTCTTAACTATGACACAACACAGCGCATAAAGTAGTCACGGTTTATGTGTCTCTCTACTTCGAATACCAACCCTAAACAACACGATTTACAAACATTTTGAATAGGCCCTACCGAATATCTTACATTATTTTCTCTTCTTCCGATCATTCGACATAAATTAACATACACAGCACCAAAATTCAAAGAGATGAATTCACGAATTCCTTTGATCCTGAGGTCCTATCACCCTGTACTCCTACCACCAAGAATTCCTGAATTCCTTTGCTCGTGTATTCCTATCATCCTCTACTCCTATCTTCCTGAATTCATGAATTCCGGAATTTCTTTCCTCCTGTATTCCTATCGTCCTCTACCCTATCATCATGAATTCCTGAATTCCGGAATTTCTTTCCTCCTGTATTCCTATCATCCTCTACCCTATCATCATGAATTCCTGAATTCCGGAATTTCTTTCCTCCTGTATTCCTATCGTCCACTACTCCTATCATCGTGAATTCCTGAATTCCTGAATTCCTAAACTCCTTTGCTCCTGTATTCCTATCATCATCTACCCCTATCTTCCTGAATTCCGGAATTTCTCTCCTCCTGTATTCCTATCGTCCTCTACTCCTATCATCGTGAATTCCTGAATTCCTGAACTCCTTTGCTCCTGTATTCCTATCATCCTCTACTCCTATCATCATGAATTCCTGAATTCCTTTGCTCCTGTATTCCTATCATCCTCTACTCCTATCATCATGAATTCCTGAATTCCTGATGATAGGAGTAGAGGATGATAG